CGTTATTTACGGCAAATAATACGGCACATGCCGTAACCGTATTATTTCTGTTTGGGAATTCCGACGACAAGTATAGTAGAGAATGCACTTATAAAATATTCAAAAAGTGCATTCATGTTAATGTTGACGATTATCATAGCATTCACATCCAGAGACAATCTGATACTACCACTATATCAAGCATGAAAACAATATCCTTTGATTACTAAAACCCCATCTTATGGTGTTAATTGTCTTTTTTAGTTTATGAAATAACCGATCGTCGCCTTCCAAGATGCTTTGTTACTTCTAGGAAACCATCTACAAACATTTTTTGAAGTTACGTAATTGTGATTACACTAACTATACTAATTTGAATAATTGTAGTGTATATATTCACATGTGGACACGGTTATCACAATCATTGTCTACAAAGGTGCCAATCCAAATGTTTGATATCTTGAACTATCTTCAAATCGAATCAAAAAAAAATGTCAGCGCAAGTATGACGAAAAGATTAAACGAAAATGAGTTTATTGAAAATACAGTTGATAATAATCCGGATAATGTTGGTTGAATCAGCAATAGGTGATACAGTAACAATGGAAATTTTATTAGAACATGCAAAAAAAAATTTTTTTGGGTTGTAAATTTTGTTTTTATTAAATAAATTTGTTTGATTTTTTCGTACATTGTCCATGTTTTGTCTTTACAATCATTTCGTCGACCTTCATTATATTAAGGTTATTTTGATTATATCGAGAGATATAGTCAAGAGAAGAGTTAGGAAGAGAGTTATTCTTCAAGCAAGTTGAAAACCAACCCTTTAAATACATTTTGAGTAGTACAATTTAATTTATTAGACCATTTCAAAGGTTTGTTGCATGGTTGCTTCCAACTTCTTAAATTCGAGATCGTTGACAAAATGAATGCATGGGTTAAAATTTTGTTACCTGTTCCTTCAAACAAATAATTGTTCACAAAACAACACTATTTGGAATGTAATTATTTTTTATTTGTCAATAATTAATAAACGTTCTGGTCTTGGGGTAATTCTTGTTTTTTGACATAATTACCATAGAATTGAGTTCGCAGTATATAATCTATGTAAATAATCATCAACTATCTCTTTTTTCATAAACAATTATTCCGTCCGTTCATTGATTCATATCCTTTAATTATTCTTGTTTGCATATATTTTTATAATAAAAATTCAATATCCAGTATATCGCTGTTTATTAAATATGTTGATTATGGTGTTAACATTACTTTTATAAAAAAAGAGTCTCGTCCATTTACTTATAAGTCCAATTAATTATATAATTTTATAAAAAAAAATAACAGTCAAAGCTCATTACAGCAGACTTTTTTGTTTTTCGTTTATAATATTTTTATAACTGTCTCGGAAAAATAAAAAATAAAAAATAAACATATTAATATGAAACCAAGAGTCCACCCGATTTGAGTGTATTTAATAAATAATAAATAATAATAATGATGATGATAATATTCTCTTTTATCTGCTAATTAATAATCAATTTCACTGACCCACAACTTCACAGTAGGATCGGGTCTAAGAATAAGATTTGCTTTAGTTGTAACTTTGAAACCTTCAACTTCATGGAACTGGAAGTTTCTTAATAAAATGCACAAGGCAACTTTTATTTCATTTAATGCAAGCCTATTACCCATACATGTTCTTTGCCCAGCTGAAAATGGCAGATGCTTGTATTGAGAAAAACCTTTAACTTTTTCTGTAAACCAACGTGATGGATTAAATTTTTCAACATCATCACCCCAAATTGATGACGAATGGTGAATTTGATAAATTGGTATATAAATTGTTGTGTCCTAAATTAATTAATATTAATATTAATATTAATAATATTAAAAGACAATAACAGATGCATAAATAAAATAATACCTTTGGAATAAGATACCCATCAAGAATGACATCTTCCTTTGCTACACGTCCCACAAGTTGAGCTTTTATTATAACATAAAAAAAAATATAAATATATAACAAATGCATTTATATTTATATAATAATCATAACAATATTTTCTTCTTCTTATTCATTATAATAATATACCTGGAGGGGAAATTCTAAGAGTTTCTTTGCAAACTGCATTTAAATATTCCATGGAATTGATTTGCTCAAAATTTGGCACAAAATCTTTATCAGGAAATTCTTTAACAATCTCTTCTCTGAGTTTATCTTGAATTTCTTGATCTTTGGACATATAATACAATGCCCAAGCCATTGTAACACCAGTTGACTCATGTCCTGCTATCAAAAATGTCATAATCTTGAAAAATTTTTTTTAGTTAAAAATAATAATGATAGTTATAAAAAAATCATTTCCTTCAATTTCTTTGTAATAACAATTACCTGATTTCTTATTTCTTCAAAACCCATTTGTTCATTTTTATCTGTCAGTCCATAATTAGCTTTCAACAAACCACTTATCATATCGTTGCTATCCAATTTACCTTTTTTCAATTCATCAAATTTATCTTGAACCAATTTCCTTGTAATTTTTTCAATTTCAATTGAAGCATTCCGAGTATCTCGATTTATTTTTAATGGCAGTGATTTCAATATGGGTAAAGCATATGATAATAAATTAAATGCATACACATATTTGTTACCAAAAAGAGTGGTTAATGAGTCAACAAGTGTTGATGATTCTATCAAAGAATTTATTTCAGAATCAAATCCTAAATAACAAATAATTATTAATTATGTGAAGATTGATTTGATTAAACACATTGACTATTGATTTTAATTGCATTATTTTATTGTCTGTTCAATCCTATCATAGAATCACTTACCAACTATGCCAATAATATCCAAAGATAATCTTCCCATATAATTACCAATATCAAATATTGCACTTTTTTTATCAATATCATTATTAACATTTTGACTATTCTTTATTTCATCTTTCCATATATCTTTCAATGTATTAGTAACCTTTGTAAATGCTGGAATCATATCCTAAATAATAATATCAATATCAATATTAATGTAACTAATCCCACAGACAAACCTGTTAATGTAAAATTTTTTTATTTACCTTAATACTATGATTATTGAATAATGGACCCATTAATCTACGTTGTTTCTTGTGTATGTCACCATCTACTGCCAAAATACCATTTCCAACAATCTTCGTTAAAATTACTACAAATTCCTTTCTTATACCAAATTTAGTATATGTACCACTAAGAAGTACTTTTTGAATATTTTTTTCGTCGAGAACGAAAACTAATGGCCTATTGAATAATCCATGACACCTATATATATTGCCATATTTTTCTGCCCAATGAACCCCGCCCTTATCAAATTAAATGTAACGGAGGTCAAATTTTTTATAAACATAATTATTTATATATATAAATCATGATCTCACTTTAGGTTTAACAATTTCCAAGAAATTTCCCAACAGAAAATGGTCAGGACGAGGACCAGGAATTTTAGATAAAGGAGATAAATATAATGGATAAATTATCCATTTATAAGTATAATAGCCAACGAGGAATGTCGCGGCAACTAAATACACGGTTGTGCTTTCAATTATAGCCATTTTTTATTATTGTTGCTGTTGTTGTTGTTGTTACGATTATTTTATAAAATAATAATTACTTATTATTATAATTATTGGATTAAATTTAAAAATATTGAAAAGAAAAGAAATATTCGCTATTTATTTAAAAAAAAATTTACGGAAATTTATTTCTTTTGGGATCATTTTTATCCACGGGATAATTAAATTGCGCCATATCAGGAATTTTTATATGAAAAAATATCACGTCTTCATACTCAAATCATAAAAAATAACAAATATATGAAAAAATAATCACGCTTTCATATACAAATCATAAAAAATAACAAATATATGAAGTTGCGCATGTCCAATTTCTTAAATTATTATTTAGAACCTATAGAACTGGTAGTTCAACTTTATGTTAAGATTATCGCTTAGTGGTATTTGTTTACCCTGGCAAAAATACATTAAAATAAAGTTTTTTCGTATATTTGTTATTTTTTATGATTTGTGTGATTTTTTTCTTTAGTTTTTCATCTTTGAAGTTAATTTTTTACATAATAATAATAAATGCAATAGTTAAGTTCTAATTTCCAAGCTTTAAATATTAAATACATAATTTGTTTATAGAAAAATATTAACTTCAAATTTTTGCTTTTTAAATGAATTTGCAGAACAGAACCTGATTATTAATATATTATTAATTTATTAATAATTTATAATATTAATTTTTTTTTACATTGAAATATAATATATATATCAACTGGATGAAATAATTTATATCTAGAGGTTGTACCCATTGAATATTCATTCATTTTATATTCATTCAATCAATTAAATTTAGTATTCAGATAATCATTCAGTGAATGATTATTCATTGTTAAGTGCCAGATCGGAGAATATGATAAAATATTTTGTCACACAAGGAAATCGAGTTGCCCGTCAATCTTTTTTATTTATACAATGTGAATTTTTATTTGCCAGCCAAAAAAATAAACGATATAATATAAAATGAAAAATCAATTTGCTTTAATTGATGCAGGTGAAATTATTAATTCAA